GACACGCCGCTCCGGGGGCTGGCAGTTCAGGGGACACAGGGGCTTTGCCTGACGGCCCCGCTCCCTGCACCCCCTGCCGACATTCACCCCCCCCACAAACGGGCACCAAATGCTCCCTGGCCAGGATGGATTCCCTGCTGTCCTGGGCCTGTCGATGCCGGTCCCAGGTTGGGGGCTGAGATCTGTTCTCCCAGGTGGCCGAGATGTCCCGGGCGACCCCTTTGGGAGCTCCCCTAAGGCAGACTGATGCGTCTCCTGCTCTTTACACAACTACAGCGTGAGGTCCCAGCCCCCTGTTTGCGAGTCCCCCCAGCCCCACCAGGCCCAGCTGGGGCTGGCTTCCGACACGCAGAACACGGTGAGCGCCCGTGGAGGGGTCACAGCCATTTAAAGGGATGCCACCCATCTCCCATGCCCTACATAGAGGGGGGACGAGTAGTCACATTGCCAAAGTGCTGGGGGTGGGGGTGTGACGGTGCTGCCCATGGGAGCCAGCTGAGGTCACTCAATTAGGGTGAACAGCAAACAGAACGGGGCAGACAAACCCCAAACGCTGGTGGATATTCCAATACTTAGATTTACCAACCAGCACAAAACAGCCTCTGTATTACCTCACTGGTTACTCAGAGTCCAACCAACGCAGTTCCCTTAAAGTGCCCAGCCTCAGGCCTCCGTCCAGACCCACCTGTCAGATACGATGATGATTACTGAAAATCTTCTCTCATCATATAAAAGAAAAGATTCTTCCAACCCCAAAGGATCAGCCACACACCCAGGTCCAATGATAATTTAGATCTTACCCAAAATACACACTTAGAGCCAATTCTTATGAACTAAACTAAAATTTATTAAAAAAGAAAAGAGAGAGTGTTGGTTAAAAGATCAATATACACACAGACTTGAATTCAATTCTTGAGGTTCAGATGCACAGCAGAGATGAGCTTGTAGTTGCCAAAAGTCCCTTTAGAAACAGTCCATAGGTTATAGTCCAATGTCCATATTCAGGGTGACTCCAGTCAGTGACTGGGGATCTCAATCCTTGTGGCTTAAGGTTTCCCCCTCTTGAAACCCAAAGCAGATCTGAGATGCAGCAGGATCGTGTCCCAGGGTTCTTATACATTTCCAGCAGCCTTTCGGCCTGAGAAAACAATAGGCTTAACACGCCTTCCAAACATCCTGGCAATTAGCACAGGGTAATTTATCCATTAAACAGTTCAGATACAGGTTACCACAACCTTCAAAGAGACATAGAGACAATTATACTACTTCACTCAAGCAGTCACGGGGTCCCCGGGCGATGCTCTTGAACTGCTCCCCACAAAGCCAGTCAGGACTTTGGGGAGCCTCCTCTCCCTCGGAGCAGACTGTCTTCAGGACAAGAAGCTCACACGGCTTCACCTCCTGGGTCTCTCCTGGGAGCATTCAGCATATGCCCCTCCGTGCGCTTCCCACAGCGAGTCCGCCCCGGCGGGGTCCTGGGGAAGCCAAAGGGTCCTGCACCCCCACTTCGCAGTCAGACGTGACTCTCAGCCAGCCAGTAACACAGAGGTTTATTAGATGACAGGAACATGGTCTAAAACAGAGCTTGTAGGTCCAGCGAACGGGACCCCTCCGCCGGGTCCATTCTGGGGCCCAGCGAGGCAGACCCCCGTCTGCCCTCCCTTCCAGTCCCCAGCCAGCTCCAAACTCCAACCCCCGTCCAGCCCCTCCTTCTCTGGGCTTTGTCTCTTTCCCAGGCCAGGAGGTCACCTGATCCCTTTGTCTCCAACACCTTCAGTTGGCACCTTTGCAGAGGAGGGGCCCAGGCCATCAGTTGCTAGGAGACAGTGTCGGGCATTTATGTACACTGGCCCTTTGCTCTGCAGCAACCATACACCCTTATCCCACCACCTAGATACTTAAGAACTGCATAGGGGAAACTGAGGAAAACATTAAGAACAGTCCCACTTCATCACATCTCTCCCCCCTTCGAGACCGAACTGAGCGGGGTCAGCCAACCGCCCCTCTCAGCATTCAAAGACCACATTAAGAACAGTCCCAGTTCTTCACAGGGTCCCAAGTGGCTCCCTTTGCTGATGTTTTCCTCATGCCCCGCGGTGGTTTTTCTCGCCCGCTGCAGATCTCCCAGAGGAGCCCCGGCTCCAAACCTCCCTCTATATCGAGGTGGGCACCAGGGCGACCGCCCGCTGTAGGGTGGCCGGGGTCTTCCCCGTCGCGGGAGAGGCCTGGTTCAGCCTGTCCTTTGGGGGAGAGAGCCTGAACTTCACCGTCACCACGTCGGGTGACACGGCCACCGCCCAGGGCGAGGTTCGGTCCCCGTCCCCGGGACAGCACCAGCTGACCTGCACCGTGACTGTGGGGCCCGTGTCCAGATCCGCAGGGCAGAGCGTTCTCGTTTACCGTGAGTGTCTGGGGGGCTCCCGGCCTGCCCAGATTTCGGGGGCTCGGCGGGGGACGTCGGCACTGTGGGCCGGGCTGGCGCGGAGGCTGGGCAGATCTCTGTGGATTCAGCCTCCGCGGGGGCTGGTTTCAGTTCACGTCGGTTCCTCCCCCTGGACTTTCCATCTGAGTTTTCAGGCTGAAACTCGCCCCAAGCCCAGAGCAGAACTCAGCCCCCCCGGCCCGATTTCCCACGGGTCCCCCCCCGCACCAGATCCCCTCCCTGCTCCCACGCCCAGTCCTAGCCTGGCCTGGGACTCGTCCCCCAACACCCCTCTGTGGGGCTCTGACCTGGCTCCCCTCCCACACAGGCGCTCCACTGAGCCTGGGTGCTCCCAACAAACCAGGCTGTCATCGCGGCTGAGCGGCTGCGTAGCCCAGGCCAGGGAATTCCTCCCAGCGGCTCCAGAGAACCAGAGCCGCGCTGGGCTGGAAGGGAGCGGGCGAGGCCACCGAGGCCCCCGCCCGGCCATGCGGAGACCAGGGTCAGTCTGCCCCTGGCCCGGCCTGCCCCACTAGGGAGAGGCAGGTTCGTACCCTGATGCTGGGCATGAGGAGCGGGCGCTGCCAGAGAACGGAGCCCTCGCCGGCTGGAGCTGGAGGGGAGAGGCGGGGGGAGCCATGGGGATTTAGGTACCAGTCCATGCGTGGAGCAACCTGCGGGAGGAATTTGGGCCCAGGTACTCAAAGGCACTTAGGTGCCTAACTCCCATGGGATCTGGGCCTAACTCCCTTTGGGGTCTGGGTGTTAACTTGAACGGGCCAGGTGCGTCCAGCCCCCAGCTGGCTTCGACCATCTCGCCCGTCCGGTCTCGAGCGAAGCGTCCTGCCGGGGAGCCAGCGTGCGGCCCCTCGGACGGGATCAGCAGCTCTGTCCTGGTCCCTTGCAGGTCTCCCTGAGCCCGTCCTGGAGGTAACCGAGTCCCAGACCCTCGTTAACAGCAGCGTGACCGTTACGTGCCGTTCTCCTGAGGCCGACCCCCCGGGCGTCCTGCTCCAGCTCAGAGAGGCCGAGCGAGTCCTGGTCTCCAGCGCCCCCGCCCCCGGCCAGCCCCATGTGCAGTTCCAGCTGACGGCTGGCGAGGAAGACAACGGGAGGGAGTTCACGTGTGAAGCAAGGCCTGGCTCCGACATCCCCGCCGTGAAACGCACGTCTGCCAGGCTCACTGTCCTCTGTGAGTAGAGGGGCCGCGGCTCTGTCTTAGGTGCTGCTCCGGCCCCGGCCCCACTGGCCACGCTCTGCGCTCACCCCTGTCACGGAGTGTGAGGGAGTCAGGGCCCGGCACCCCTCTTCCTGGGATTCACCATGCCAGTAAAACGGAAGGTTTAGTGGACAGTAGGAACGCAGTCTACAGCAGAGCTTGTAGGTACAACCGGGACCCCTCAGTCAAGTCCTTCTGGGGGGTTTAGGGAGCTTAGACCCCAGCTTGGGGTTCCCTGCATTGCACCACCCAGCCCAAACTGAAACTAACAACTCCTCGAGCAGCTCTCTCCCCCCTCCCCTCTGCTCCTCCTCTCCTTTGTCCAGTCTCCCGGGCAGGTGTCACTTCTCCCACCCCCCCTCCTGGCTCAGGTAGCTTCCTTCCCATCCCCAATGTCACTCCCCTGCAACATTCCCAGGTCAAATCCGCCCCGCTCCCTGCTCCGTCATAGCCCCCCTGCAGTCAGGAAGCAACGCCCCCTTTTCACAGCTGGCAGCTGAGCCCCCAGAGCCTCACCCAAGGACTCGAACCCAGGGCTCCTGGCCCATCCTCCCACTCCACTCCCACCAGCTTTTCTTCCGACGCACTCGGCTGGGACAGGTTTCAGAGTCGCAGCCGAGTTAGTCTGTATCCGCAAAAAGAACAGGAGTACTTGTGGCACCTTAGAGACTAACAAATTTATTTGAACATAAGCTTTCGTGGGCTACAGCCCACTTCTTCGGATGCATGTAGTGGAAAATACAGTAGGAAGATCTAGATCTAGATATATACACAGGGAACATGAAACAATGGGTGTTACCATACACAGTATAAGGAGAATGATCAGTTAAGGTGAGCTGTTGTCAGCAGGGGAGAAAAATAACTGTTTGTGGTGGTAATGAAAACGACCCATTTCCAGCACTTGACAAGGAGATATAAGGAACTGGGGGGGGGGGGGGAGAGATAAGCATGGGGAAATAGTTTTACTTTGTTCCTTATATCTCCTTGTCAAGTGCTGGAAATGGGCCATTTTCATTACCACCACAAACAGTTATTTTTCTCCCCTGCTGACAACAGCTCACCTTAACTGATCACTCTCCTTATAATGTGTATGGTAACACCCATTGTTTCATGTTCCCTGTGTATATATATATATTATATATATCTTCCTTCTGTATTTTCCACTACACGCATCCGATGAAGTGGGCTGCAGCCCACGAAAGCTTATGCTACAATAAATTTGTTAGTCTCTAATTCTTCTTTCGGCTGAGAGAGCGACTCTCTTGTGCCTGCGACCTGGGGCGGCCATTCCTGTGCAGCAGCGGCCAGAGAAATGCACTGGGTCCAATCAATTCTTAGCATTAGGATATCAGGGCCCCGTTGCGCCGGGCGCTGCCCAGACCCCAGCCAAGATCAGGGCCCCGTCGCGCCGGGTGCTGCACAGATACAGTCCTGCCTCAGGGAATGTTCCCAGGCTAATGAGACAGGAGGAATCCCTGGCCCCATTTTACAGATGGGGAACCTGAGACCTTCTCGTGACTTTATCAGGCTTTGGCTCAGATCCAGGTCACACCGGGCGGCCATGGCAGAGGCAGGGCTTGACCCCAGAGTTCCCAAGCCCAGGCTGTTGCCTTGCACGCCGGGCCCCCTGTGCTGCCCCAGAGCAAGGCCTGCTGGTGCCAGGCAGGGCAGTGGGGGGAGCCCAGCGAGGAGGCGCCTGTGGCAGGGGAGAGCCGCCGGCCTTGGCAGCAGCCCCGGGGGCGGGCAGGAGATGGGGCTACACAGCCCTGGGCAGCGTAACCAACCGCCCCCTCTCGCTTCCAGACGGGCCCAGGATGGACGACTCCGGCTGCCCCAGGGAGTGGATCTGGAAGGAGGGGACAGAGCAAACCTTCTCCTGCCTGTCCCGGGGGAACCCAGCGCCAGACGTGGTGTGCATGAAGGACGGGGTGCCCGTCAGCATCGGGGTGCAGCGGCAGGTCAGCAGAGAGGACGCCGGGACCTACCACTGCAAAGCATCCAACGCGCACGGCTCGGCCAGCCGGGATGTGACCGTCCAGGTGGAGTGTAAGTGGCCTTTGGTGGATCCTCCAGCAGGCGACTTGGAGGGTGGCGTGCAAAAGTGCCAAAGGGATTTAGGAGCACAGGTTAATGGGTCTCTTTGGTAAAATCCCATTGACTTTCCATGGGATTTAGGAGCCCAAACGCCCCACAAAGCCGCGGGGGCTCAGTACAGGGATCTGGGCTGCCATTCTCTGGCCTGGCGTCCTGCTGGAGGTCAGACCGGCAGGCCCAGTGATCCCATCTGGCTGGTCCATCGGTGTGGCTTGTGCTCTGCAGGCTCGGCCAGGGCACAGCCCACCGCCCCCAGGCTCAGGGGGTGCGTCCTGGCATCACTCCCACCCCGGAGCGAGCGGGGATGGGTCCAGTATCCTGTAGCCTGGGGGTTTTCAGGTTCATCTCTGTCCCAACTCGTCCTCCTACTAATTATGTGTAATATGACAGAACACCAACCGAGATCAGGGCCCCGTCGCGCCAGGCGCTGCCCAGACCCCGGCCAAGATCAGGGCCCTGTTGCACCGGGCGCTGCCCAGACCCCGGCCGAGATCAGGGCCCCGTCATGCCAAGCGCTGCCCAGACCCCGACTGAGATCAGGGCCCCGTCGTGCCAGGCGCTGCACAGACCCAGCGTGAGAGACAGTCCCTGCCCCAGAGAGCTCACCATCTAAACAGGCAAAGAGTGGAAGGGGAAACTGAGGCACTGAGCGAGTGAGGTACTTACCCAAGACCAGTGGCTGAGGGGAGTAGAACCCAGGTGTCCTGAGTCCCAGTCCGCTGCCCCCTGCCCACCCCACGAGGCTGAACCAGCTCTTAGCCCTCCTCAACCTCGCTCCTTCTTTAACAGATCTCAACATCCTGGTGTTGGCACTGGGGCTGGCAGGTGCGGCTGCTGCTCTGACCGTACTAGGCGTCGGGGGCTACCTGTACTACCGCTCCACGAGAATCCGAAACTACCGGCTCAGACAGCAGCAGGCCAAGCAAGCCAAGCAGGGGAAGCCGGCCGAGCAGATGAGCCTGAACGGGGCCGTACAGAACAAACCTGAACTGGAGCACAGCGTCTAGGCCTGGAGTGCAGGACCCGGAGCCCTGGGGCTCCTCGCTGCTGCTTTTCCCCTTCGCCCCCGGGGAGCCCCTGTTAACTCTTGGGATGCTGGGCAATGCCAAGAGCCTGGCGGTTCACGGCCTCTGCACTGGCAGCACGGGCCCCTCCCATGCACACACCAGCTGCTCTCCGGAGAGCAAGGATCAGAGGGAGGGAGGCCTCCGGAGCGGGGCAGACACCCCCAGGACGTCCAGGGCTGGAATCTCCCGTGTCCTTGGCCGGAGGGACGTCTGGCTGCAGCTGAGCTCTGCCCTGCTGGGGAAGCAGGTGGCTGGGAGACCCCAGGCCCAGCAGGAAACGCCTGTAACACTAAAGTCGGAACAGTTGTGCCGGGAGGGGAACGGCGTTAACGGCCGCCTCTAACCACTTCTCCTAGCGATGGGGAAGGCGCCTCCGAGCCGCACACCAGCTCTGTCCCAGCTGGGGAGGCGGCCGCCCGGGGCACGTGCGACGGACCCACGGGATCACTGTGAAAACGGTTCGACACTAACCAGACGGGCTTTGGGATCGCCGGGTCTGTGCAACGGAGACGGGCCGTGGGGTCCGTTACTCGGATCAGCTGAATCACAAGACGCTACGTCCCCGCTCCACCGTATCCCCGGCGATGGAGCAGACTCAGGGATACCAGGTCTCCCCCGCCTGTGGGGCTGAGCTGGGCGCGGCGTGGCAGGGACCAGGGTCTGCGCTTCACGGCCCGGTACGGGGGGGGGGTCAATGACGTTAATAACTGGAAGCGAAAGCCCCCAGTCTGTGTGAAGAGAGCGTAAGGGAGAGACTCGGGCAGGGGGCGAAGGGAACTGTTCGTATGTTACAGGCAAACGGTGGTAAATTCCCCTTCGGGACTTTTC